AAAAAAAAAAAAAAAAAAAATTTTTAAAAACCAAAAGGGGAGATTGGGGAAGGTGTTTACCCCCCTACCTTCCAAAAAATTTAAAAAATTTATAAAAAATTATTTTTTTACTTGTTAACCAAAAAATAAAAAAAAAAAGGGTTTTTTTTTAAAAAAATGTAAAAAAATACCAAAAAACCCTTTTTTTTTCCCCAAAACAAAAAAAAAGGGAAGCAACCCAACTTTTTGGTTTTTGATTTTTTTAAAAAATCTTCAAAAAGGAAATTTCTCCAAACCCCAAACCCCCCATTTTAAAAAAAATTAAAAATTGGGTTTTAAAAAAAATTTCCGGGTTTTGTTTTTTCGGGGAAAATTTTAGGTTACCCACCCCCCCCCTCCCCCCGGAAAAGGTTTTTTTTTTTTTTTTTTTTTTTTTTTAAAAAAAATTTTCCCTTCCAAAAGTTTTTCGGTTTTTTTTAAAAAATTTGGGGAAAAACCGGGGGTTTTTTTTTGGCCATTCCCAAAAAAAATTTTTTTTTTTTTTTTTTTTAAAAAAAAAAATTTTCCCCCCTTTTTTGGGTTTTTTATTTAAAATGTACGGGGAAAAAAATGAAAAGTTTTTTAAAAGAAAAAAAAAAACCTCAAAAAACATTAAATTTTTTTTCCGAAAGGGAAACCCCCAAAAAATTTTTTTAAAAATTTAAAACCCCCCCCCCCCCCCCCCCCGTTCCCCCCTTTTTGTCATCCCCCCTGGGGGTGCTGGTGATATTTCAATCCGCCTCCGGTATGCGACGACGGTGACGTTCTTCCGTCCCGAACCGGATTTTACCGTTCCGTACCGTACCGTACACCATGGTCTCGCGGTGTTCCAGGAGAACGAGTCGTCCTGCCAAAGCCAGCTCAACAAGTTCCCGCTGGTGGTGCAAACCCCGCTCCTGCAGCGCCGGGTGGACGACCTGAACAAGAAGCTGAAGGAGATCGATGAGGCCAAGGCCATATTCAGTCGAGCTAGGGTAAGAACAATACAAAAGGGTTGAAGTGGGAAAATGAGGGCTAGGAATGGTCCAAGTGGAAGGAGGGGGAGAAGGCACTATTATCTCATATTACTGAAAGCATACTGAAATATATTTTCGGGGGGTACATATGGTCCATGATGCACAATAATGTGTCCATTCACTTTTTGTGCGACACTTTTTTTAAGAAACATGCACAGGCATAGGAAAGGTTCAAGTATGTAGGGGGGCGGGGGGGGGGGGTGCACCCATCTTGCATTGTGTTGAAAAGGTAAATATTTGGAGTAGGCCCTGTGCTTTTTTTTGCGTCTCTCCTGAAACCGTCTCCCAGTAGCTGTTGTCTCTCTCATACCTCGTTCATTACCACCATGGTAGCTGTGTTATTTTCCTGTTTTGGTCATGCGTGCACTCTCTCTCTCTTTGTTTCTCTCTCAAGCAAACAAGACAACATTCAGGTGAAACATGGACCATGCGTCCCTTCCTCATCCCGCCGTGTTTTTTCGTCTGTTTTGCCTGCCAGGTTTACATCGCGCGGGATTTTTGAGTTTTTTCAACGGCCCCCACGTAAAGGGGACTCAAGGGGCCTGCAGAGTTTATTGGTGGAACGTATTAGGCACGACTTTTTTTTAGTATATTGGTAGTTGATGTAGAGTGCCCTTCCCTGCCCATGGAAGAGGTAGTTTTTTTGTGGGATCGGGAAAAAATTTTTTGTTTCAATTTTTGGGTCATTAAAACCCGGGGGGCTTACGAAGGGGCCCAAAATAAAAGCCGCCCTGGCCCCCCTATCCCGTAAGAGAGAGCCCGGTTCGAAAATAAAAGCCCCTTTTTTTTTTTTTTTGGGAGGGGAACTTTTTTAATACATTTGGGGAGGGAGAGGAAAAAATTTTTTTTTGTCGATACCAGGGGGGGTTTTTTTCCCCCAAGTTTCCGCCTTTTTGTGTTTGGGCCAGTAGTTTTTTTTTTTATTTTTTTGGGCCCCGGGGATTCCCTCCCCCCCCCCCCCCCGTGGGGGGCCCGCCGCATCAGGGCTTCTCGTTTTCGACAAGACCAAATCTTGCAACAGCTATTTGGCAGGAGTCGGCTGCGCTACAGGTGGCATCGAGTAGCTTACGGTACCACGGTGTTGAAGAGGATGATTCTTCTCTCGTTATGCGGTGCTTCTTCCTCTCAGCAGGGGGGCACGGCGGATGGACCAACTACGGGGCATGTACGGGGGGGAAGGGTGGCAGTTGCAGGGACGTTTTCACACCACCAGTTTCTGCCCGGGGGGGTTGGACACTCGGCTTCAGCTAGATATTAGGCACTCAACGTCACCTTCCATTTCTGGGATGTGGTATGTGGTATGTGGTATGTGATATGGTATGTACGTGTACAATACGAACGTGAGGGGGGGGGGGATACGTGCTGGCGCTAATGAAAAACGCTTTCCTGTCGACACGGGGCAATTCTGGGCCTCTCTGTGGCACCACCAATTTGCAATCGATAGGACAAGAGCTGATGTGCCAGGCGGATGGAGGGGACTGATTGCTTCTCACCGTCCTCGTGTTCTGTGCTCATTCCAGTCTCCCGAGGGACTCGCATGTTTTCGTGCACACTTTCTTTCGTTTTGTCTCTCGCCGACCCAGATATATATGTACATGAAAACACCTGTAACACCTCTGGTGCATCGTGGATTTGGATTCACTAAAACAAACGGTGTCCACTTCCCGAGAGCCGCACTGCTGTACCCTCGGGGCCTCGCAGATTGTGTTCTTTGTTCTCACTTTCATTTTATCTCTCGCCAACTCGGATATATCTATGTACACGATATCTATGTACACGAGAACACCATATGTGCATGATACGGTGGTCTCACTAAAAAATACAAAAAAACAAAAAAACACGTTCACTTTTCACTTCCCGAAACCGCGCAAACACATCTCGACACGAAAAGAAAAAAAAAATGCTTCGGTTACGACTATTTTCCTCCAAGAACCTAAACTACCGCTGCAGAAAAAGTTTAATACAGGAAAAAGAAAAGAAAAGCGTAGGCCGCCTCTACAAGCTTGTTCGCGCTGCTACGAGTGAATGCGTGCCATTGTTCTCTGAGGGATTTTGACGCCGTAACGACGACAACAAGCTGGATGTGGGAACGCGGACCAACGACAACAACAAACGCTGACGGAGGGTAACAACGCAGCACGCACACCGGTGAATGAACGTCAACGAACGCCCCGCCCCCCCCGCCCCGCCCCGCCCCGCCCCGCCCCGTCGCACGGAATGGAAATCTTGGCATGATGATAGAAGATAATAACAAAAATACACTCACCCCACAAAAGCTTGCATGGCCCAGTTGAAAGCGTACGACGGTGAAATATTTACAGTGGTCGCGCAAGTTCTTCGGCAAACCTAAACGACACCACGGTTGTCTGCTACATAGTCACAGCGACTCCTCTGAAAAACACACACAAAACAAAAAAAGCCCTAAACGACGAGACCTTTGTCTGCTACATAATCCCAACGACTCCAATGAAAAACACACACATAAAAAAAAGACCTAGACGACGAGACCTTTGTCTGCTAAATACATAATCCCATCCCAACGACTCCGATGAATCACACACACATAAAAAATTCAACCTTCACCACAGCGACGTTGACCTGGGCTACAACCAACACCGCGAAAAAGGTGATAACCCCCCCCCAACGCTACTACATACACACCACGTTTTCACCACGGTGCCCCTCATCATGCCTTCATCAAACAAATGGAACAAGCGCCGCCTCCTGCGCAGAGGCTACTTGCTGGACCACTTCGTGTCGGGTGCGGTGGGCTACAGTAGTGGCCTGCCATCCCGCGGGATACAACTCGGGAGCGGGTGGGCTAGTGGCCTGCTATACCGCGAGGTACAGCTCCGTACTGACTTTTGCCTGGTACTACAGCACCACAGCAAGCAGCCGTTCGTGCTGCTCGCGCAAAAAAAAAACACCGCGGCCGAGTGCCGCTGTTCCCGCCGACCAGCCGCTGTTCCCAATAAACCCTCCACCTAACGTCACCCCTCCCTGTATCCCTGTACAGTATACCCTCTTGGTGCGATGCTGCTCTTGTATGTGGTATGCTCGGTAAGCAACTTCGGCGAACAAACTTACCCCAACGCACGACACCACCTGCCAGAGGGCTTCTTGCCGGCTCATGGGCTAGACAGACAAGACACGATCAATCAGCGCCGCCGAACAACCCCCTATCAACCCGTGGCACATCTGGTTTGGCACAGTAAACGCAAGTAAGGATTAGCGACCTGCTTCTGGCTCATCCTTTGTAAAACGTAGCCTGGGCCGGCCAACACCCGGCACATCGCTTCGTCCCGGCATTGAGTTCCAATGGTCTAACGACTACGGTATGCATATACATTAGTACCCCCCCCCCTCCTCCCGCCCCCAAGACGTCTTGACGCTCGCTCGCACATGCAACTATAATAATAACGCCCACGACATTCCCAGACTAAAACGTGCTCCTCCGCCGCGTGTCGCCAGAGAACACGGCATCTCGGCTTCTGACAACCGAGATTGATTAATTTCCGACCAAGTTGTCCTGTGCTACTTGGATGCGTTCCTGTCCTTCTCGAATGTTATTGTTCTTTTCTCTTGCGGCGATATATCCAAAACAATCAGATAGCTTAACTCATGCAGCCCGCACGACCCGGAGGTTTGGTAGCTTTTCCCTCAGGAGTTCCAGATCCGTCATTTCCAGCCGGCACCCGAACACCGACAGAGACTCCAGATTCACGAGACCTTCAAATTGGACGGAAGGCGGGGGGAACGTGGGGACGAGGGCGGGGACAAAGAGAGCCAAAAAGCCTGGTCAAAAGAACGATGGCGACAACAGAAAAACACTACTACATTAATACTTAAAATTACAAACAAAACAAAACACAAAACAAAACACAAAACAAAAAAAAAGTGCGACCGACGACAAAGCCGCGGTAACGCGAGTCGTGCGCGCGGCCTGGTGGTTGTCGACAAACAACAAAAAAACAGCCAACACTAAAGGGGGTCGGCTGGTTGCGGGGAACGTTTGGGGGGGGAGACCGAAGGCAGGCGGTGCACCGTCCGGAGAATGTTCGGGTGGAGACGGACGAGATAGGAGCGGCAGGCCCTGCGTGACCCCCGCTGATGCGCCCAGAACAACTAAATAGGGACGACACCCACCCACAACACAAAACATGCTCAAATGAGACCAGGCCAGATCAGGGCAAGTCCGAACTGTCTTCTTGAGCCTGATACGTACCATAGATATCGCTGGACGCTGCTCGGAAAAACGTGGAAAAATACAAGTTTGTATAGGACAACAATACTATGAAATGAATTCACTGCTGATCTACCCCGGACTCTTTGATCTGTGGAAGAGATCAAATTGTTATTGTGTTTCGTAACAAGAAAAAAAGTCAGACCAGATCATCAGGAAAATCAGAGGGGATATATCTGTCACCTGTGAGGGAGTTCAGAGACGACGGCGTGATGTTGCACGAGGAGAGGTTCAGCGACCGGAGGCGGGTGAGGGTTCCGACGTGCCTCACACCGGCGGCGGTGATCCCGAAGTTCTGGGACACGTTCAGGCGGGTCAGGGACTTGACCCTGCTCAGGTGGTACAGCCCTCGGTCGGTAAGCCTACCGCTGCACACCTGGTTGTCGTTGTCGACCGGAGGGGGGGGGGGGGGGGGCGCAGGATGGGATCGGAAATTTGTTGTTGTTATTGTTGTTGTGGTTGTGGTTTGTCTTCACATCAAACCCGTTCCGGTCTCTGCTTAACGAGTGCACCTTTTCCGTGGTCACGCGCAGGGGATCGTGATGGAAAACGTCGCTACAAACAGCCACATCCCCAAGTATTCTTCCATGTAGTGTAAGGCGACCTCGGTCCGTCCATGAATGAAACAATTGGTTCTCCAGGCCGAGTGAAACAATTTCCTTTCGAATTACCAAATCTGATCAACGAAGACGAAGACAATAACCCCTGTTTGTGAAGTGGTCGTTACTGTTGGTTTCTCGGATGCGTATGATCGAGAGGGGGGTACAGCAGACGGGATACTGGGAGAGAAATACTTGCTTTTTCCCGACAACGCTCAGTCCATGGAGGGTAAATGATCCCGCACGGTAAATCTTGTCGGCATACTGGATAGCGCGGAGAAGGCAGGAGAACAGCAGGAGTACAACAGTACCCAATCCCGGAAGGCGCAATACACCCATACCGCGAACTTCCAGGGTGTCTTCCATCGGAGTAGACTGCTATTCTCGTTCAGGACAACACAACGACGTGTAAATGCCACGAGGGGGCGCAGTTAAGACAACCCCAAGAAGTGAGATATGATGCTATGAAGCGGCGGCGGCAGCAGGAGCAGTAGAAACACCAACGCGTTTCATTCGCCAAGACTACAGGGTTAGAGAACAAACACCAACAAATTGCTGCTGTGCCTGTCAAGCACCGCACCTCACTCGACACGACCAGATGAGACGAAAAAAAAGAAACGGTGCCATGAACAACAAAGAAACAACAACAACAACAACAACAACAACAACAACAAGGTTTAGGTACTGCACTACCGGTTCCTTTCTCTGTCTGTCTGTCTGTCTGTCTGTCTGTCTCTCTCTCTCTCTCTCTCTCTCTCTCTGTCTGTCTGTCTGTCTCTCTCTGTCTCTCTGTCTCTCTCTCTCTGTCTCTCTCTCCCTCTATCTCTCCCTCTCTGTCTCCCTCTCTCTGCAACTGTACACAGATAATTTTACCTCAAGAGTCGTGAGGCAAGGCAGCCGGCAGAGGCCGTGAGCTACCCCAAAGTCTGTCTGTCTGTCTGTCTGTCTGTCTGTCTGTCTCTCTCTCTCTCTCTCTCTCTCTCTCTCTCTCTCTCTCTCTCTCTCTCTCCCCCTCTATCTCTCTCTCTGTCTCCCTCTCTCTGCACCTGTACACAGATAATTTTACCTCAAGAGTCGTCAGGCAAGGCAGCCGGCAGAGGCCGTGAGCTACCCCAAAGTCCGTGATGGAGGCCGAGAACACGTCCAAGGACTCGAGGAGCCGCAGCCGCGTCAGCTGGACCATACCCGCGTCGCCGACATCCCTGGGGTGTCCATCGCGCCGCAATAAGAGAGGAGAGAGAGGGGAGAGGGAAGAGAGGGAGGGAGGGAGGGAGAGAGACACACGCACGCACACATAAAGAAAGAGAGACACATACAGACAGAGACCGATCGAGCAACACAGACAAGACAGACAGATAGACGGATCGACAGATATATAGAGAGACAGAGCGAGAGAGTCAGAGCCAAGGAAAGGGAGAGATACACAC